AGTTCATCAATGCTGTAGGGCTCTAAATGGTAGTCCATCAATGTTGTAGGGCTCTCAATGGTAGTTCATCAATGTTGTAGGCCTCACAATGGTAGATCCTAACTGTCGTACGGCTCTCAGTGATAGTTCATCAATGTTGTAGGCCTCACAATTGTAGATCCTAACTGTCGTAGGGCTCTCAGTGATAGTTCATCAATGTTGTAGGGCTCTCAGTGATAGATCATCAATGTTGTAGGGCTCTCAATGATAGTTCACCACTGTTGTAGGGCTCTCAATGATAGTTCACCACTGTTGTAGGGCTCTCACTGGTAGTTCACCACTGTTGTAGGGCTCTCACTGGTAGTTCACCAATGTTGTAGGGCGCTCAATGATAGTTCATCAATGTTGTAGGGCTCTCACTGGTAGTTCACCACTGTTGTAGGGCTCTCAGTGGTAGTTCACCAATGTTGTAGGGCGCTCAATGATAGTTCATCAATGTTGTAGGGCTCTCAATGATAGTTCCCCAATGTTGTAGGGCGCTCAATGGTAGTTCACCAATGTTGTAGGGCTCTCAGTGGTAGTTCACCAATGATGTAGGGCGCTCAATGATAGTTCATCAATGTTGTAGGGCTCTCAATGATAGTTCCCCAATGTTGTAGGGCGCTCAATGGTAGTTCACCAATGTTGTAGGGCTCTCAATGATAATTCCTCACTATGTTGGGTCCATTAACTGAACCTGCTACATTAAAATGACTGATCACTTCTCTCTGTTGTCAGCTATGTGCCCCCCGACGGCGCCAGCTGGTGGAGTCGCTCCCCCGCGTCTCGATCCCATATAACGCCGGGCCAAGCTCACCACAAGCATCTACTGCACAGCACCTGCACAATCAACTGTATCATGAACTGCATAGACGTCAGACATTGTCCCCACTATAGCAAGAACTGCACCAATGACACGTGTGTGTTGACAACTGCTTGGACGTGACAGTTCACATTGTATGTGTGCATATTACAACAGATCATGTTTTGAATAGGTGCGTGTGATGATTGATAAGTGTCGTGAAGTGACAACAGTGTCAGGCGTCAGCGAACTCGTCATGACCTTTGACAAATGAACCCGGATGTGACAGCATGAAGGCACCCGAAGCTCAGAGACCTTGAACGTGATATGATTTGACGACGACTGGTCCAGAGCACTGGCTTGGGAAATCCACACGTTGTTTGTGTATAGCGACAACAAAGTCAGAAGTCATTAACTCTCTCCAGGAACTTCTCCAATGGAGTTGGTTACCTGATGTGCAGCCACCAGGACCTCCAAGACAGCAGAGTTGGAATGTATATGATTTGACGGCAACTATACAGATCGGTTATTCGTCGAGGTTTCTAAGGTACATATATGCACACATATGCGGCGGCCATACAGTTTAAATCGATGTGCTATGTTTATGTTCAGTTGAAAATGATAATTGAATGTACAAGGAAAGGCGATCACACAACAGAGGATGTTACTGATGTATTGAACCTGTGTGGAGTTACAACAAAGAGTATTGCCGATGTACTACTGTGTGTGTTCAGCTACCACAAAGGATGTTATCGATGTGCTGTATATGTGTCGAGTTGCAACTAAGTTTGTTATCGATGTACGGTTTGCGTGTCGAGCGACCACAATGAATGTTATCGATGTACCGTGTGTGTGTCAAGTTGTAACAAAGAATGTTAACGATGTACGGTTTGCGTGTCGAGCTACCACAAAGAATGTATCGATGTACCGTGTGTGTGCAAAGTTGCAACAAAGAATGTGATCGAAGTACTCTACGTGTGACCAGTTTCGAAAAAGGATGTTGTCGATGTACTGTATGTGTGTCGAGTTTCGAGAAAGGATGTTGTCGATGTACTGTATGTGTGTCGAGTTTCGAGAAAGGATATTGTCAATGTACTGTATGTGTGTCAAGTTTCTAGAAAGGATGTTATCGATGAACTGTATGTGTGTCGAGTTTCGAGAAAGGATGTTATTGAAGTACTGTATGTGCGTCGAGTTTCAAGAAAGGATGTTGTCGATGTACTGCATGTGTGTCGAGTTTCAACAACGGATGTTATCGAAGTACTATGTGTGTTGAGTTTCAAGAAAGGATGTTTACGATGCACTGTATGTTTGTCAAGTTACACCAAAATATGTTTCCGATGTAGTTTGTGTGTCCAGTTACAAGAAAGGCTATTAACGATGTATTATGTGTGTGTGTGTGTGAGTGTGTTTGTGTGTGTGAGTGTGTTTGTGTGTGTGAGTGTGTTGTGTGTGTGTGTGTGTGTGTGTGTGTGTGTGTGTGTGTGTGTGTGTGTGTGTGTGTGTGTGTGTGTGTGTGTGTGTGTGTGTGTGTGAGTGTATGTGTGTTTGTGTATATATGATGAGATATTATAAAAAAAATATATATAGATATGTGCTTGTTTGTTTGTTGTTTAGCGCGCATACACCAAAAAGCACTAAGCAGAGAACTTCTAGTACACAAAGACGAGAAGTCGCCTGTTCAGTACTGGTGCTCGTTTATGTATTTGTTACAATGTTCTAAAGTTCATTATAACGTCTAATAGTTCAATTGTTTATATTTGCTTTATGGCAGTTTGTGTTGACGACAACTGTTTTGTTTTGTTTCTAAAAGGAAGGGTCGGGTTAACTATTGGTTGTCGTGTTGACTATGCGTAGTGTGGACTGTCTGAAACGTATGGCAGACAGATACTGCAACATTCCTGTTCGCATGCACACATTGTCCGGAATACACTTTGTCTGATTTTAAGAGGCGACTTAATAGATCGGGCGGTCTGAGTTGATGGCGTGTCATACTCCGAATTTGATTGTGATTTTTCACCTTTCTTGTATTGTGTTTTGTTTTTATTTTTTTCCCAAATTTATCTCTGGCGTCTTGATAAAGATTGTCCTGAAGAACACAATTTTAAGCAAAGTACTATAAACAAGACACCTTTCCTTGTTTTATTAATTTTAATTTGAAACCGTTTTTACTTTGATGGTGTGTTTTTTTACCACAGATTTGATAATAAAATGACAGTAACAAAAAACACAAGGGATCATCAGAAAGACCATCGACAGCAGATGGGTCTGAAGAGATGGAAAACTCCAAATCTTCGAGGCCAGCATCAGGGATTTTATTTTTTGGGAGCCCATGAGTGGGTCATCGGTGACAACTGCATCAGGGACATTAGGGAGAACAATGCGAACGTCCATTTGCAATTTCGGGTCTGCTACTATTGGAACTTGGGATTCGTGCAAAGGTGCCTGACGACCATTGGCAGTTAGCTCACCAGTCTCAAGGCGCATATACAACTTTAGTCTCTAGCACCCTATGCGGCTCGTAAGAGGTGACTTGATAGATCGGGTGGTCTGGGTTGATGGCGTGTCATACTCCGACGGTGTTGACGGCACCTCATAATATCAATCACTTGATTATTTGGTCCAGACACGGTTATTTACAGATCGCCGTCATATATCTGACTGATTGAATGAGATCACTCGAAAGTATCCGTGTTTATAATTACTCTGCAAAAAAAACGCAAAAGTTTTATATTTTATGCATCATATAAAAATCAACAGATTGTAATCGATTGTTCAAAATTGGCACATATCATTGTCATTGACCCATGTTCCATATAGCAGAAATGGAACAGTAGATGTTCAAGGTCATCTGTTCTACATATCGTGTATGGCCACCATGAGTCCAAACTGACTGGCATCGTCGTCCCATGGAAGAAATCAGTTACCGAATTGTGCCCTGGGGAACCGTTCACCCATTCTACCTGCAGTGCTTGTGCCAACTGTTGGATGGTCTGTGAGTGATGCTGACGTGCTCCCAGTCGTTAATCCAGTACATCTCATAAATGTTCGACTGGGTTTAAATCTGGAGACCTGGAGGGCCTTGACAGGATCTGGATGTTGGCATTCCTATGGAAGGCTGTTGTCAGTCTTGTTGACTGCGGTGAGTTCAGGCGTTGTCTTGTTTGAAAATGACGTGTGGTCGAAGAATCTCATCCGTGTAACGCTGTGCCGTTAAGTTCCCAGGAACTTGCACCAAGTCTGTTCTACCAGTGCAGGAGATGGCTGCCCACATCGGCACACTTCCACCACCAAATTTGTCCACTTCCTGTATGCAGTTTCGTGTATAACGTTCCCCGTGTAAACACGACGCCTACCGTCCACACGGCGAAGCATAAAACGTGATTCATCACTGAACTAAACTTGTTTCCATCGCACCTTGACGTCGCAGTCGATGATGCAGCTCCATCAAAATGACACCCGAACTGGTCATCTAGCGCGAATACCTTCAGCGCGTAAACGGTTCCTCGGTCTGGGCTGATATCTTACGCATCCCAACGATTTTATTACCAAACGAGTTACGTTGAACGTGCATATCATATTGGTGTGTTTCGGCACCAGGCTCTCACGTGGTTGCGTTTTTCCATCTTTTCACCAAATGTCTGCAGTACCTCATTCCACAAAAATTTCCACACAAATCAATCCCAATCCATGCAGAAATGTACAAATTCATTTTTGATATAATTTTGTATGGATGTCGGCAACACTCTGACAGAATTTATGATTTTTTTTTTACTTTTGCGTTTCTTTTATTGCAGAGTATATGAACTGTATTTTTTACCTCACCGGAGAAACAAAATGCAAACAGAACACGTTGTATTCATATGTTAAATGCACAGCTTTTAATGAATATTTGTGATATGATCCTCATAAAACTGTATCTGTGTGTTTGTACGAACTTGAAGAAGGTATTTTGTAACACGGTTTCTATTAGGTCCCCAGCACTCTATTGTTTTTTTTGAGTGAGTCGACTAAATGTGGGTCGGATGGACTGGACTGGACTGGTCGATTGCGTGTGTTGATACCCGACGGCGTTGGACGTTGCTCATGATATCAATCACTGGTTTGTCTTGACTTGATGTAATAACAGTCCATCGTGATACAGAAGGAAATTTGCTGATTATGTATACACAAAAAACACTCATTTTTGAAATTGTATAAGCTGAATTTGTACAGACCTATGTGGGATACACCAATTATATACTACAAAACCACCTTGGCACATCCCTTTTTGTAACTCAACAACAACCTTTGGTGTATTGTAGCCTTTCCTCTTGTATCCCATTATCATCTACATTAACGGTTTATTCTATATGGGCACTACGCATGTATACATCAATTACGTCAACCTAAAAGGAAGACCTGCATATAGTCAAACACACGATATACATTGTTGAAGTCAAATCTTAAGGCACTGTAGCGTGTCGATTCCCAATTTCTGACGTCTGTGCACTTCCTGATGTAGTTGATGATGCAGGTGCTGTTCAGTAGATGCTGGTTGTGAGATTGTCCTGGCGTTATATGGGATCGAGACGCGGGGGAGTGGCTCCACCAACTGGAGGTGTCGGGGGACACATAGCTGACAACAGAGAAGGACAATCAGTCATTTAAATGTAGCAGGTTTAATTAATGGACCCAACATCATAATACGGGATAGGAAGGCACAGCTTCAAAACATATAAACCGAACGGACTTACTTTAAACAGTAAATAAATCTCTTCAGGACAGCTAGCAGGTTCAGCCCACAATTTATGGCGGCAAACCCGAGGCAAATACATAATGCTGGGCAAAAGAAAGTACAGTAAAATACGTTTGTAAAAGAACACGCCTATAACGAACTGACGGATATAGTGAATATATTTTTGTCCCGGATATTTGCTGTTTATACTGCTGGATATATGCTGGCCTTAAACTACGGTTATAAGAACTCAAATTCGTGGTCCCTCTGAGTTAGTCATAATCGTAGTTTACAAAATACAATTGGAAATTTGATTTGACCAAACAAAATAACGTCATCAAAATTTTACTGCCATGGAAACAGTCGTCAAAACACTGCAAAAGTTGTTTTGGTAGATGCATGTGCAGCAGTGAAAATAGCTACACACTTTTTAACGGGTACCCATATAAATACATCAGTAGTTCTGGTATCCCTGGTGTCCGGAAGTTGTTCTACGCATCCGTGCGGTGGTGGCGGAGGTGGTGGCGGAGGAGGAGGAGGTTGGTTTTTTTGGTTTTGGTTGGTAGGTAAAGCAATGATGAAAGCGTTCTTTCGGGAGAGTGGGGTGGCCCTGAAAAGGGCCTTTGGAAACCAACTGGAAACACACTGGACAAGGCTTTACCTACCAACCACAACCAAAAAAAACCCCTCCTCCTCCCCCTCCTCCCTCCTCCGCCACCATCGCAACAACCACCGCCGCCGCCACTGCCGCCTCCGTCACCACCACCACCACCGCCGCCGCTGCCACCACGACCTCCACCACCACCGCCGTCGCCACTTTTTTTCGCTTTTTTAAAATGAAACAGGGTTAAGGTGCTTACTTGTCTGCATTAAGAGGGTTTAACATTTTTATGTAGTTTGCCAACATTCTATATTATTTAACCAAATCCGCGTTAGATTTTATACCACGAGCCGGGGGCAATGTCAATATTATGTCATAAAACCTGACGCAGGACGATAAAAACACATAGGACCCCTCTTGATCCTGCGGCAACGAATGTATCTTACCGACATGTTTTACATGATATTCTAACCGAATTAAAACAAATTCATAATTGATAGAAAACAGCTGATATTAACTTGTGCCGTATTGACATTGACGCGAAAAAAGCATGCGGCTTTTTGCTTCTAAGCAGGGTATGAGGGATTTCTCCAGCTGAGAAATTAATTTCCCTCCAAGGCGGGATACACATTTTAACAAGATCACGTGGACCAATCAGATCTCATCATTCTGACATGGAGGTATGATAAATTATGTTACCTGTGATTGCCTCCCCTGTCGGGCTGTTGGTCACGTCTTTCAGCTCCAAGTCGTCTTTTCCTGTAACAGAAAGGTGGTGTGTTATTATACGGTGTTCATCGTAATGACTAATGGCCTGTAAAGAGTGTCGTAGCCCTTTTGTTAATAATTATGCTCCACTATGCAAGCTATCAAGAAACCTACGGCCGCAATGAAGGTTGCCGTTTTATCGTCAAAGCTTTAACGCCGGGAGTATTCTGAAAATAAATTATAGGTTAAGAAAAGTATAGTGATTTAAGAGAGGAACCTGGAGTTTTTCCAAATAAAGTTAAATAAAACTGTGATAAAATAACTGGTACTAAAACATAGGCGAGATCCAAACTATGTGAAGTGCTTCATATGACATCTAAACTGTGATATTACCACATACCTGATCTTTCCACGATGTCATCGCGGCTGATTCGATAATTCTTTGCTGCCCCTGGACAAAAACAGAGCATTCGCACAATGTACAGCTTATTACAATCAGCAGAGCTTCACACAATATCAATCAATATTATCACGTTGTTTTCTTACTATTTCTCAAGGGCGGTCGGGTAGCCTTATGGTTGAAGCTTTCGCTCGTCACGCCGAAGACCCGGGTCCGATTTCCAACATGGGTACAATGTGTGAAGCCCATTTCTGGTGTCCCCCGCCGTGATATTGCTGGAATATTGCTAATAGCGGCGTAAAATCAAACTCACTCGCTCGCTCGCTCACTCACTCACTCACTCACTCACTCACTCACTCACTCACTCACTCACTCACTCACTCACTCACTCACTCACTCACTCACTCACTCTTACTGATTTTTGTCTGAACGCAGTCACGTGAAGGAACTGAAGGTAGTTCTGGCATGACGGGCAAAGCTTCACTCAATGAGTCTTTCCATTATGTTTGCAAATGAAAATATTTGTTAACCACAAAAAAAACAAAAGACATATTAATTCATACTTACTAACTTGAAGGGTACCCTCAACAGAAACTGAGCTCTGTGGTCGTGGTCGTTGTCTACCTGGAGAAAGAATTGGCTTGTTATATGACGTTGGTCAGTTGTTAATTCTATCATTGTCTGATACATATATAAAGTAGGAATCTTTCTTTAATGATGTCCTCTGGTCTGTATTCGGAATATGCTTTTCTTGAGACAGGTAATTATAAAATATAGATGATTAGATGTAACTTTCGAATTAAAAACTGAAGGGGTTAGTGTGCTTTCTGTTGCCCTAGACGAACTTTACAACCACCGTTCACACTTAACTATGGAGGCATAGAGGGAGATCACATGTGTTTTCCATAAATGTAGAATTTAGTGAGTGAGTTAGATTTTACGCCGCTTTTAGCACTATTCCAGCAATATCACGGCGGAGGACACCAGAAATAGGCTTTACGCATTGTACCCATGTGGGGAATCGAACTCGGGTCTTCGTCGTGACGAGCGAACGCTTTAACCACTTGGCCACTTGGCCACCCGACCGCCACTAAAGCAAAAGGAAGAGCTGTTAAGTGTGTCAGCAAGCGTGGTTTTACGCTGCTTTTCGCAATATTCCAGCAATATTCCAGCAATATCGCGGCGGGGGACACTACACATGAGCTTCACACATTGTACCCATGTGGGAAACGAACCCGGATTATCTTTGTGACGAGCGACGCTTTGACCACAGCCCAGGAATTTATATACTCTCATTGATAGTGAAAGTATAGGGAATATTTATAACTCCTGCCATTAAAGGTCAGTGTTGAAAAACATCATAGATCGGGGTTGTCTGGCTCCCTGCAACTTCTCAGTGGCACAGAGACAATTAACAATTACTTTGGCAGCTACTGATAGTAGTGACGAGTAACCGCGACGTAGGCCAAGCTCAGACACCTCAAGTTCGGAGTTGAGAGGTAGTTACTTTAAATAACTATTATTTAAAAGGGGTAACCAATAAGACATACAAATGTGAAACAAATAACAGAATATGTTTTTAATAAAGTGTGTTGAGAAAACAATTATTTCAGCGTTTTTTCTGCACTGTAACTATAACCTGTGAAACAAACAACTGAATAATTACTTCTTTGATAGGCATTTAGACGTTGGAGTTCTAAGTCAGGAAAAGAATTTTTGGATTAACAACTTCTTTTTTACAATAAAGAGCGACGTTTTGGTGTAGGTTCTAACACCGTTATCAAGCAAGTGCTAACGGTGTGAGAACCTACACCGAAACGTCGCTCTTAAGTGTAATAAAGAAGTTGTTCATCCATAAATTCTTATCCTTACTTAATTGAATAATTATACAATTTTGATTTCTACGAAACCTCTTAGTTGGGTCCATGCACATGATGCAATGGAGGTATGCAACAGGTTGCGATTAAATTATAACATCTTTGCAGGGTTATGTGATAACTTCTTCTTTTTTAAACAAAATGTATGTGTTTACAAGCGTTATTTTGAAGTAGTTAAGAACATGTGTATTTTGATTTGGACCTCTGTAATAATTGCTACTGTAGGATAGCGGAACCATGTACCTATGTGTAATGACAGTGTCAAAAAACGTTATAGAGCATTCTAAGTCATTGTATAATGGCGATTAACTTCCTGTGGGTAAAATTTGAGGTCGTCTCGCTGTAGAATCGATACCTTCGTATTTTAAATTGAAACCTCGTGCTAAAGTGTTCGGTGCCAAATTATAAATATTGATTCTAGGGTGACTACAAAGTCAAAGCACAGTAGGTTATCTTTTAGGGTTTAGTTTTGTGAGGTTGTGTGCTTTGGGTATACAATATAAGTCCTACAACCAGTACATATAGTCAGTACTTACGAACAACCCTCCTCCGACGTCTGATTAACAGAGCCACGACGACAACGACGATGACGATGATGACGACTATCACAGTCGCACATACAGCAATTGCTATGACATATTTTCTATCCATGGTTCCGTTGGTCCACTGCAGGAATCAACTTCTGCTAATAATACAATTAGTCTGCATGTTATTAAACAGTTAAGCATTTACGCAAATTCGACCTCCACACTGTACGCTCTCACTGACAAGCCCTTCTATTACGCAATGACACTTACCCCACAGAAGAACGTTCCCGCGTATTGAATGTTGCGTGGGAATGCACCGGTGTATGGTGTGCAAGGGGTTATTAAAAATTGCACCTTGGAGCACCTACCCGGGAGTAGCTGCAGCTAGTTCCTATGTGGGTAGGGACCCTACTTTACATTGTGAATGAATGCATGTGTTGAGGCTGTATTGAGGCTGTATTGAGGCTGCATTGAGGATCTATTGAGCTTCATCCGGCAGAATTGGAAGGGCACAAAGACACGGTTGGCACATTAAACTAAACAACTTTACAACGCATCCTTAAAATAGAAATCATTGCTCACTCATTACATAAAAGGTTTACACACACTCCTTCTTGGCTTTCCATTGATAAAAATACTCTGTCACTGCAAACACCTCACAAACTGTTCTGTACAGGTGCAGATGGCTGCAGTGGTGATTTCAGAGGGGGTTGTAAAGTGAACGGTTCCTGCCTAACGGAACATTTCTTCGGCTTCGTATGCTGCACGTTTTGTGAAGGTACGAGGCTAAATATAACCGTCTACTGAGGCCTCGGACGTTAACCTTGATCAAACAAAATGGAACGCGCGTCATTGGGGACCAAATGTTAAAATGATACAGTAAAATACTAGGGTGCGCTCCTTTTGCAAAAAATAAAATTTACTTCGCTCTTTATGCAGAGATAATGCTTGAGATTGAACAAAACCTGGGGACATGCCTTCTGAACCAGACAGACAGACAGTTTATTCAGTATTCAGGCAACAAGGCCCATAGTACAATGCAGATTGGATATTGACATCAACAGCTCTTTGTGAGAGGAAGGCATTGCGACCTTCAATGTTGACATTTCAGAATTGCATCATCCAACATTATGACGACATGTGCCACTTTCGCGATCATAACAGAATGCATGGCTTATTAAATAGGGTTTTTGGTGGAGTGTTTCCTTCATGTTTTGACTACTTGTCATCGTGCATGGATGGTGTGGATCAGTCCTCTTGTTTTTTTTCACTGTTTTTCAATTTTTCACTGTTGTTTCTGTTCAGGTCAGATATGGTTAGAGTTTCACTGACTACGGCGGTAAAAAACATTCACTCACTTAATCACCTTTATATTAGGACTCATCTAGCGACACATTTTATTTTTCACCAGATTTAGTTAAATTAGCGGATTAGAGTGTTCTTTCGGAAAGGAGATAAATTGGACAGTCCTGAATCTTGAACTGAGTCTTGGTTTCTCTTGATAAGTTCATTACTGAAACAGTTGAACAGTTTAGATACAAAACACAAGTCCTATATCCCCAACTGACCAATATCACAGACGTCAGAAATCTTTGTTCAGCACATTAAACATGCAAAATAATCATGATGACCACGTGTTTGTAAATTACACCCACATATAAGATGTTCCCTCTTATCAAGACACTTACGGCATGTGAAGCATGACATATGTGCACGTAATTATTTTGGAATTTTACCAACACTCATCAAGGGCCCGGTTCTGTAGTTCCGCGGCCCTTAAGAAGGATGATAAACAGGACTATGCAATACGAGCTCAACCCGCAACAAGGAAGTAAAATGGTGACATTACATCGTCTCACAGCGGGATTGATCAATAGAGGCGTGCGGGTTATTTGGAAATCTCTACACGCTGGTTGTAGTCATGTGTACACAATCGGTGTATTTTACGCTAGGCCACCCAATGTATGCATATCAATGTCTTCACTCCACAAAGATGAAACTGGGTAGGTCACGTCGATTTAAGTGACGGCGTGTTCTGTTTTGCATTAGGGAGTCATCCTGTGCCGCCTCATAAACGCACCTTTCCTACTATAGCATGTCGCCCATCCCACCTTCCCAACTACAGCTTGTCGCTCGTCCCGCCTTTAACACATAACAAGTCACATCTTTGAATGTGTCGTCTATACCATATCACTACATCCTGAACATAAACTCGTTATCCTGTCCTATTCAACCTGCGGCACATCACACACTTACCTGCCGTGTGTTTTCCTCTATATCCTGTCAACGACAACAGAATATTCCTTTAAACAACATCAGACCATTTCCATAGACAATAGCGGAATATCCATAAAGAAGCCACAAGTGTTTCACTGCTCACTGTTGGCAACAAAACTGTATACTTTTCGACAGCACAAGCAGCAACCACTTTGGCAACAACACTTTATCCCTTCTGACAACAGCAGGGTATCCCTTATCAGTGTGTTAGACACAAACAGTCTCTTCACTATCTCTCAGTTACGTTCGGTTCTGCATCAGAGACGACGTGGCCTTCTCGCACACAATAGGTAGTATATGTAATGCAAGTATTTGTGAGATACACTAAAATCACGACACCTTTGTAGCATGTCGCCTGTTAACTTTCCTCTCTATAGGACGTGGACCGTCTAACTTTCCCCTCTATAAGACGTGGACCGTCTGACTTTCCCCTCTATAGGACGTGTACCGTCTGACTTTCCCCTCTTTAGGACGTGGACCGTCTGACTTTCCTCTCTATAGGACGTGGACCGTCTGACTTTCCCTTCTATAGGACGTGGGGCATCTGACTTTCCTCTCTATAGGACGTGGACCATCTGACTTTCCTCTCCATAGGACGTGGACCGTCTGACTTTCTCCTCTATAGGAAGTGGATCGTCTGACATTCCCCTCTATAGGACGTGGACCGCCTGACTTCCCCCTCAATAGGATGTGGACCGTCGGACTTTTTCCTCTATCAGAAGTAATGTGACAAGTTATGCGCCATCACTGACCCTGTGAATGGAAGCGTGAGCAGTCTCCTTAATAACGTTAGTGATTAATAGAGCGAAACACCATTAACAGACATTCACTAGCCCGAAATCTCTGTGGGAAAATATACCTACAATAATGCACACTTCTAGCATACTGCGTCCCGGTTGAACAGTCTCAGCCTACCTCAGTATCCAGTAGCTTGCTGACATTTCCTCTGATCGCCGTGCCGTAATGGGGAGGTTTGACACTACCATGCTCAGAACCCGTCGACACCAGACGGCAGCCTTTCAGTCAGAGCCTCGATTTGAACAAGAGTGAGCGAGCGAGATTTGGCCAGCGCCGCTTTGAACAGTTTTACAGTTATATCAGGCAGGTCAACTTGGTGACAAACATAGAAACATAATCGGGGCGACCCGGGACTTAACCCATGATCATATGTCTATTGATTGCTATGATCTATGCCGAGTTGGAGTCAGATTACACACTGTCCCATTCGTTCTCAAATTCAACCACACATTGAAGAATGATGCAATGGGGTATACAAACAAACACAACACCGTGAACACTTACTTACTGTGTTGTATGATGGAGAAATGTGTGGACGAAACCAGAGTCAAGACCCTCTACAACGAAGCTGGAAAAACCTGTGCTTAATATAACCGTTTATAAGCTGGCCTGAGACCACAGTTACCAGTTGCGTTTTAAGTGACAAGTGGCAGGTTGGTCAGCATGCAACAGGAGAACAGCCTCCGACTGATAATAATTATGGTTGGCTGCCATGTCACTGTAGATGGCAAAGAAGGAAATTAATTGTGGTCTGAGGCCTGATATGGTGCGGCTTTTGCACATGTTTGATTCATTATAGCTCTATACTATACTATGTAATAAATTGACTTGAAACTTGGCATGTATATTCACCGTAAGTGTTGAAATCTTTGTACATGTGTTTTCAGGTTGTAATACGTTTTATATATTTTTTAATGATTTGGTTTACTTTTTCGAACGTGCAGTTTTAAGCATATTGTTGAAATAAATGAATGCAAGCATCATAATAAGTCATATGAGTTCCAATATGTTAGAATCATGTATCCCTACACCTGTTGTGCCTCGTATGAGCTTGGACAATATCTATATGGCCAACATTGAAAAGCCAAAAGTGGCCAACATTGCACGTGTCAAAACGGCACATGTCAAATCTGGTCTAGGGCATGTTTCAGGTCTTGCTTGCTGGCCGCAGTAGGCTGCAACAGCCTCACAGAGGTAGAGATGCCCTCACAGTCAGGAGTCGACAGCCCATTGCCATCAAACCTAGACTTGGTAACCAGTGAGAAGTCTTCAGCACTCATCCTACTGACAGTCCTGGGTATCTGGGGTGGAGAGGCACTTTCTGTCTCTTCAGATTCAAGGGTGAGACCTTTGTTCCAGGGAATGTGGCCCTTGCTGAACTGTGACTTGATTCTCTTGTGATCGCCTTTCATCGTGATTGTCTCGGACAGATCTAATGAGCTCTGAGCACAATATGTACTTATATACCCCATCACTGTGTAATGTCACTGGCAATGACAAGCATATAAATGTATTAGAAACTCTCAAGACATACATACATATGTCTTGTGTCAGCAGTCCAAATTGTAATACCAATCCACAGACACGTAATCGGTACTCACTTTAATAAATGGCGATAACATTTGTTGAAATATGTTCCGGCATAACATTTCTGCAATGTGTTGAAAACATTGCAATAACATGTAATGAAACAGTATTCGCTATGTTACAGCATGATGTTCTTGAATAACATTTAAAAAACATTTCAAAAACATTTCCTGAAATAGTTTCTGGCATAACATTTCTGCAACGTGTTAAAACATTGTAATACCAGTGAAATAGTTACACCTATGCATGATGTTCTTGACAAACATTTAAAAACATTTCAATAACATTTTGAATAATAATAAAACATGTACACATCATGCGGATGTTTTTACATATGTGCACACAATGTATACACCTGGAACTTAATTAAGCGCCACCGAACTAAATATGACACAGAATTATGAATATCGAAAATAAAGAAACAATGATTATTTATTAGACAATATGGCCCTTTCCCCACACCATCACACTGACAATGCCACGATCAACGGAATTGGGTGTTCAAGAAATTGGTGTTTGTATCAATTCTTATACTTCTTCAATTTCATGCATTATTTGTATTTATCAATTTTAAGTTTCCTTTTAACTTATTTTAAACAGTTCACACATTATGACTTTTGTTGTGCAAGGTGCAATCTCAATCAGCAATAATCAGTTAAGTAAGTGATGTTTGAGAACAAGTAAAGTATCATCTGTCATTGTACACACTGAATAGAGTTATCACCCCTTCTGAATATTTATTTTGACACACAAGTTATTTTGTGAACTAATTTCATTGATATCGTCATATGTTTCGATGAAAATCATAGCAGAAAAAGTGTCTTTTGTCAACTGGACTCATGGCAAAACGATAGTGCGTTGTACAGCAAACACCACTATGAAACGTGAAATAAACATGATCGACGGTCTCGAGTTCGCCAAGCCACGCATTGACTGAGCAAATTTGCAAAAGTACACTGACGTGTTTCCTGTCATGCAGTTCTTTTACGATACAAAACTTCTGTCATTGAAACTACTGTCACATTGTACCTATATGACGACGAGGTTATGATAAAACAATCTATTTCTGAAATACATATCTCGACATGCACCTTTCGATTCATTTCCGGGATCCTGACAGCAAAATGCTAATTCCAGTGTATTACAGGCATATTTTAGTTGGACCTCAGGATTAAATGTGAAATATCTTCTGTATTAGATACAGAGGATACCATTTTTTGTTTGTTTGAAATGTCCATCAGTGAAATGCACAACATGCTGTCTGTTCCTTAACAACTGATGCGACGTACACTGCATGGAGCTATGCTCTCCAAGCCTCGTTTTCGATCCAAGATGGCGAAAGTGTGAAAAAGGTCAATATTTCTTGGTTGTCCAAATCATCGTTTACTTCTACTACATGCATGGTTGGAGGCAAGATCAAAGTCGCCGCCCAGCTTAACTAAGACAACAGACAGTGTCGTTTGTTTCGATTTGAACCACCACCCCACCCTGTCGGTAGGAGTTGTATAATCGGTGCCCAAATAACTGTGTCCAGTCTACAAACGGGTTTGAAGCGGTGTCTGTGTCGAATGATTTTGTGATAGTAGTGAAAAGATTCGTTGTATACCGTATATTGTTTGTTACTAACTATCCTCTTATTTGCCAAAAAGAACAGAACAAAACCCCATGACCGATGCATTGGTACCTTGATATGCAACAAGGAAGAAAACGGATATTACCAACAGTAAGTCAGCTAACTGGAAGATCCACTGACTACTGCATTCCTTATAGAGGCTAAACGGTCCTCTGTGTGTGTACTAGACGTAACATTCGAAGATAAATAAAGTCAATTTTAAGGCTGTACGGGCTATGGAACCGAGAGATAATATGTCCAAAATGCATATGTTGTGAAAAAGAGGATGTCTATGCTAGAACGTTTGATCACGAGGGCGAAATATTGAAGTAGATACAGGAGAGTTGGGACACTGCCTGTGCAACACCAACCATGCGGTTTGAAATCAGTCACTGACATGATAGATGAGGTTGATAATAACACCAACAATTTTTGCTTTCATATAAAGCATTATGAGAACTGGGGAGGCATTTTTTTTGTAATCTAGGCTTGCATACATTTACATACATTTACACACGCACGCATACATACATAAATACACACCGATAATTTACATACATACATCAACGTAATGGTACATACATCCATACATACCATGCACACATACAGCCATGTTATCACACGTACATAAGTGTCTCTTTTCTGCGCCAAGTCTGGTCTCAAGATGTCGATTCTTACTTGATATCAATAATTCATTTATGGATACCAAAGAAAGAATTTATATCACAAATTTGATTTTATTATATCCTGAAATGTTTACTGATATCGCAAATCAAATTGTAGATATCAATAACTGAATTTATTATACCAGATAATTAGGAGATAAACATACTGTGTTTTCAATGTAGAGCTAGGTTACCTGTAGATTTAACCCCGCTAAATTGAATTTGGAACCGAACGCGCAGCGTGAGGTTTCAAATGTTAAATTTAGCGGGGTTAAATCTACAGGTAACCTAGCTCTACATTGAAAACACAGTATGTCTATCTCCATTCTACCATGACTAAATAAAACGCGAACTCTTTGGTGTTAGCAAACATACTGAGTGAAGCGGCAAGGGATGAATCCAGTGTTTTGAGTAGGTTATCCATCTGAATTACGGAATCACCGAACAAAATATGGCGCTGTATATACTCAAGCAGTTTGTTGACACCTTAATACTTCACTCGAACATATGACAGCCATTGAATGCATATAAGCACGGCAACTTGGTAAGCTAACATGAGGTGGACATCCCTAAAGAAAACAAGGCAAGCTTTGCAAGGTTTTCGCTCTACATCGTATGTCACCATTATGACGTCATATCGCTCATTGTGACGCAAAAGATATGACGTCACAGTCGTATACAGAAAAGCGCCAAAATTCCAAGCTTTCTGTTATCTCCAAAACGTAAATACATTCCCTTTGTAGATTTCTAACATGTTTTCTGCAGGAAATGTATTGCCACAAATCCTTTGAACACTGTAGTTACCGCATCTGTGCATTTTGTAACCTGTAATTGTAGATATAATTATTTAAATATGCCTACCGACAATGACTGAAAATAGTACTATTCTATGAATATTAGCTTCCGCGGTGATGCGGTCGTCAAACCAGCTGTGACAATCAGAGGGGGTTTATGGTGATTTAATAGCCTCTGATTGACCAATCAGAATCGAGTAAATTCCAAATTCATGGTAGAATGTACTTTATCATCTAAAAAATCAAATATGGTATAGTATCTATAGCCTTCGTGTCCGTGACCTTATGCCCATTTTGCAAAAGTTCGTGCAGATAGCTACAGTACCGTAACATTTACATATATAGATATTCAGAGGATGTCTCTGCATATATTTAGGGGCAAGCTTCGTCCCTTTATTTAATCAGTTTTCCTCCTGGCTCTGAATATGAAATATATGCTTTACATATGTATCTTGTTATCATTGAATTTTATTGTGATTTGAATACTATTATTTACTATTGTACTTACTTACTTGTTTTACATGAGACGTTTTATATTTATCAGAAATTACATTTATTGCTTGTAAGCTCAACACAACTGACAAATACTCTCAAACATATGGTAAGTAAACTATTAATGTACATTGCAAAAATATATGTTGTAAATGCCAAAATGATGTATCAAAGATCAAGTAGAAGATGTATTGACAGTAGCGCTGGGAATTTATTCAACAAGCCCGTGAAAACATCCACTGCTTTATCTCCATGTTCACCTCTCCTGGCGACCATTATGCAAAGGCCATCTTATACACGTCTACAGGTCTCTTCCTGCGGTACGGTAATTAGTAGAACCATCTACCTCAAGTGTATCCTCCATGATAAAACCTACTCTCATTAATCAAATGCTGCCTTTTCCCAGCGTCATGGCTTTGGAGCTGAGACAAAGAGAGACCCAACTATCATAAAGTAATTAGGGTCCAATAAAAATCAAAGCTCCGCCAAACCTCATTAACATGATCATTGAAAGTCGTACTGCAGACGTTTAATGTCAAATTACAAAAAAAGCATTTGAATAACAATAACATTTAACAGGATCATGTATTCTCTTAACACCATCTCAAAACATCATGTAGAAGCCGAAACAGTACTCATACTATCCAACAATATCACATCTAAAAATGTGACATCAGCAAGTTCATATAACAGTGTGTTTTGACACTTTTCGCCAGGATATCAAACATTTCTCTACTTCAGGTCCTTGAAAGGCATATTTAAGTGATACACATAAGAAAGAGAATATATGGATGTCAACTTCTTTATTATAAGGAACACAGCGTTTCCGAGTAAATGCTTACTCCTTCATCGGGTGAATGAATGCCATGAGTCAGAGAACAAAAGGTGGAAATTAACAAAGGGTATAAACTAACAAGGGAAGCCAACAGATGGTAGAAGCTAACAAAGGAAGCCAACAGATGATTGGCGCTGATAGGTGATTAGCAAAAGACAATGGAAGCCAACACTTGTGACCCGAATTGCAGGAAAATGTTCTTCTGTCATGCTCTTCATTTTGTTGCCTCGCAGATCATATTGGTATGTTCGGTGGTGGAGGAGGGTGTTGAACAGAACAGAAGCAATTTGCTGAAATACAATAAAGGTTATGTTACATATAGCATCTCTGTCTGACATTGCTGAGTATTATCAGAGCGCTTGAAGTAAGTTTCACAACTAAATACATGTGCTTCATGTACATTACGATTGTAGCGAATGTCGTATATTGGCAAAAATCAGAACAAGACCTTTCGTCGCAGTTTCTTTTAACGCCTCAGAAATCGTTACAGTTTACCTTGCATTTGCAATTAAATGTCATCCCGTTCGGCTGAGATAACCACATGCCGTCTGCAATACCACCTCATATCAAGTGATGCCCCGAGCTAGCTCATAAGATCTTCCGATTTGATGTCCTGGACAACCTTGACCGACTACCACATCTACTCCATCACCCCCATGAGCGCCAACTACATCTACTCCATCAAAACGTTGAGCAGAAACTACATCCACTCCACCAGCACCTGGACAACAACTACATTCACACAGACTGCACATTCTGCACAGACATCATATTAATTTTCTCTAGTAACTGGTCCAGAGAATTGATGTAATTAGTCAAGTTATATGAAGAGTTCCTATGAACAAACTTTGGTGATTGACGATGCCTCGAGATAACTCATTAGATCATTTCTAGTTTGCGGCCAGACTTGAAGATGATATGTTTAATGTGGCATTGACATACAGATAATTCTTCAGGTGATTTTCAGGCTTTGAAGATGGCCTGGAACCATGATACTATATAAATACCGATGTCTCAGAATAACTCCAATACTCTGGTCTTGATAAACAGTTGGAAACAATAAGGGAATGAATATAGTGAATCTCACCCGAGTGTCTTTTGATATCAAATATATCAACACGAGTTGATAACAACGGAAAAACTCCGAGGCTTGGCGAGGTTTTTTTCCACTTTCATCAAAGAGTGTTGATATATTTGATATGAAAAAACACGCGTACGAGGGTGGGATTTTATTTATCATCAAACATCATTCTTCCAACTTTTTCAGTTTGTAGATAGGAATTAATAAGCAGTGTAAAACGTATTGCTAACAGTTTTAGTAGCAGAGCCATTAGTATTTTCATTTGATGTCGCTTGATCTCACCCAAGCGATATCTGCGTTTGGAGCCAGTTTAGGATGATAGATAATGTTATGTTCAGACAAGTCCTTGGTCGTTTTATGTTTGGTGCCCTTGTGAATTACCAAAAGGCAAAGGTAGATATGAAACTTATTTTAGAAACAAATCAACCAATAACAAACGTTATATAGATGTCATTTAGCTAACAATATCAGAGTGCCCTTACAAAGGACACAGAGACTGTTTTGTCCATTCAGGATAATTGAAAACAACTGAATAACTGTCCATTTACCTTTATTAATTGACAGGTGGGCTGATGTCCTGTCCTCCCCCACTCTGTAGGCATATTCCCCTGTGTCAGGAGGATGGACATCTGTGAGAGTAAGCTGACGGTCCCTTCCATTGATAGAGATCTGTGTTTTCTCGGAATGAGTCAGTGTGACGTCGTCTCTGGTCCACTCACCCGCCTCCCCAGTGTCATCACGTAGCCTCAGTCTGAAGGTGGCCGAGTCTCCAAACATCACTTCCTGGTTCTGCAGAACAAGCTCGATACCTGGTGCCGTATTATTGAAACAATAAAGGTGTTTGTTTATCCTTGTTTTCTTAAATTGTGGATACAATGTTGTTGTTGTTTGTTGTTGGTTTGTCGTATTACGCCACACTCATCACTATTCAAGCTATATGACGTCAGTCTGTAAATAATCGAGTCCAGCCAATACAGTGATTTCCATCATGAGCATCGATCCACACAATTGGGATCGATGACATGCATCAACCAAGTCAGAGAGCTGGACCACCCGATCCCGTTTCTTGCCTCTTACGACAAGCATGGTCGCCTTTTACGGCAAGCATGGGTTGCTGAAGATCTATTCTACCCCGGATCTTCATGGGTCTGTTGATACAATGAAAAAAGCTGGTGTTCTAAAGAGGGAATGATTTTGGTTTTACCCTGCTTTCAAAAGCATTTCAGCTACATTGTGTGTGTCAGCTTGACATGCTTAAGAAATATACAGGCTCATCAGTTTTAATCCAAAAAGGATATCTGGTTCTGTAGCTGTAGCTGAAAAAATATCTAGTCCCCATACAAAATCCCAGATTATAAAAGGTCGGCCCGTAAGTGTCGCCATGGTTGTCATCATATGGTCGTCATTCTTACCATCTGTTTTTGAAGGGGTAAACACACCAAGATCATCGCACACAAGTTATCAGAGTATCGCTCCTACAATATTGATACACGCACTGGTGATACAACGTTTTTAACACAGGCTTCAGTCATTAAACCATAACCAGTACTGACACTAAATGCATGTATAGTGTATCTCCAGCACAGCACCAAGATACCTATGTAACCTCATTCAAGTGTACCAGCCTACCAGATCACCTTCGATCACAATCCCACCTTTTGTGTAGTGTCCCAAGATGGAGATTAAAGGGACATGGCTTCAGATCATTCTCCTGTCAAGCACCTATGCTGTGGAATACACTCCGAGAAACCCTAAAAACTGCAGAGACCCTATCTGTATTTAAGACTAGACAAAAACATTTCTCTTTGACAAGTATTACCCTTGTACTATGTAAGCGCCATGAGCACACGAGCTGGTATGGAGTTTGGCGCCATACAAATGGACTCGTTATAATTATTATTATGACCTAGAATTGACCTTCTACCAACTGTTAACTGACCTGGAGAAGAGATTGAACAAGTGTATTGAACTACAAGAGGACAATGTTGAAACAATTACAGCTCATGATCAAATGACAGTTCTATGTAATAGACTCTAACTCTGTTTGATACCCCCTCGAATGTGTTTAATGACAAATATGAAAATCTGATGAAAAAATATCTGCAGTGTATTTAAAGTATTTACAGAGTCTAGCGGTGACTGGCGAACAATTGGAATTCAAATCTCGCGGCCCTGACATTCGAAGTACAAAACATCTGTAGTGTAATCAAAGTATTTACAGGATCTAGCGGTTACTGGCTAACAATTGGAATTCAAATCTCGCGGCCCTGACATTCGAAGTACAAAACATCTGTAGTGTAATCAAAGTATTTACAGGATCTAGCGGTTACTGGCGAACAATTGGAATTCAAATCTCGCGGCCCTGACATTCGAAGTACAAAACATCTGTAGTGTAATCAAAGTATTTACAGGATCTAGCGGTTACTGGCAAACAATTGGAATTCAAATCTCGCGGCCCAGCCATTCGAAGTACAAAACATCTGTAATGTAATCAAAGTATTTACAGGATCTAGCGGTTGCTGGCTAACAATTGGAATTCAAATCTCGCGGCCCTGACATTTGAAGTACAAAACATCTGTAATGTAATCCAAGTATTTACAGGGTGTTACGGTTACTGGCGAACAATTGGAATTCACATCTCATGGCTCTGACATTGAAGTACAAAACATCTGCAGTGTAATCAAAGTATTTACAGGGTCTAGTGGTTACTGGCGAACAATTGGAATTCATGTTGCCCACCTATTTTCTATTACTGGATCCTTTTTCACGTCACAATACAGTTTAGTATTATATAATGAATTGAATATTAAACACGTACGTGTTATCGTGGTGTATAAGTCGCCCTGTCACTCATTGTCAAAAGGAAAACATTTAAAATATTGCCAAAAATCGAACAAAATATAATTTACATGTGGTGCTGACACTCTCTGTCCCTGGGGTTGCTGACAACATCCCACAATGTGTTATGCTACTGCCATGGTGTCTATGATTGGAACAAACATCGCTATTATCCCTTCGGATTAGTTTCAGGAAAACCTTACGGTTACTTAGCAAACGGCCTGTTCTGTCCGCCATCTTTATATCTTAGCATGTTGCAATAAAACACTGTTTTGGTTATTGCCTAATTGGCGCAGATAACAGTAGGATCGCAATGAAAATTAACAAATGTTATGCACAAATCCCCAAGGTTAGAGGGCAGTATTATATTGCTCATATTGTGTTTCCTATTAATGTGAGGCTTTACAAAACTCAAAGGTCATTAAAATTTATCCACAATGCTCTGTGGCTCACCTGTATTATGGAGAAATAATCATTGCAGAACTGGGCTAGGATTTCTGGACTCGATCGCAGCGCCACCAGTGGCTATTACAAGTTATGTCCCTTCTATGACCGTCCTATTGACCAAATCTGATTCCACCTCTCATATAACTTGCATTTGCTTTAAACAAAATGGCGGCACCCAGCCGAAACGATTATTGTAATAAAACGGGTCTTGCCTCGCGAAGTGCATCAAATCACATGAACACCTTGATTAAAAACTTCAAAAGATTTGGAAATTGTTGACGGTACACATCCTTTGCAAATCCTGCAGTCGTCCAAAATGTGCACGTTGAAATCCATGTTGTTTACTAACTGCCAGTTAGTTAATGTCAATTTCGTTATGCGATTTCAATTGGACTGTGCCAGTCCAGCTAAAATATAACTCCATAATTCCAGTCTAGTTCAGCAAGGGCGGAAACTGGACTTCTAGAGTAAGTTAGGTCCCTTGCCTCGTGAAGATGATATGAGCATAAATCTTAAGCCTGACTTGCACTACTTTCTTTTATTTTGCATTGGCTCGGGTTTTTTTTAATTGTGTTGGCGCTTTCAGAAATATTACGAGCCAATTGACCGAGAAAAAACTCACCATGTGAGTGAGCCATTACTTCGATTCTAGCATTACTTCATGACGACATACATACCTTTACCTAAAACTTGGCATGGCGTTTGATGAACGGTCAATGGGAAACTCACTTCTTCATCTCTGTCGTCATAACCATAATAGCCCCTACGACTCGTGGCATAAAAGTAACAGTCGTCAGCATATGCTCCAAGTTGATACATATCTTCGATGTCATCTCCCTCTTCTTCATCTGTCATGTCACCAAACAAATATTCGTCAGCACTCTCTTCATCAACATCTTTTTTTTCTGCATCCTCCACAGTACTGCCTGGTCCGTCAGTGGTTCCAGGCGGGTTGTCCTCATCATTGCTTTTGCTCCTACAAATTGCTGATGAGGGTATGGGGATATTTATAACTCATGCAATTATAGGTAAGTGTTGAAAAACATCATAGATCGGGGTTGTCTGGCGCCCTGCAACTTGTCAGTGGCACAGAGACAATTAACAATTACTTTGGCAGCTACTGATAGTTGTGACGAGTAACCGCGACGTAGGCCAAGCTCAGACACCTCAAGTTCGGAGTTGAGAGGTGGTTACTTTGAATAAGTATTATTCAAAAGGGGTAACTAATATGACATACAAATGTAAAATAAGTAACAGAATCTGTTTTTTAATAAAGTGTGTTGAGAAAACAATTATTTCAGCGTTTTTTTCTGCACTGTAAGTATAACCTGTGAAACAAACAATTGAATAATTACTTCTTTGATAGGCATTTAGACGTTGGAGTTCTAAGTAAGGATAAGAATTTATGGATGAACAACTTCTTTATTACAATTAGAACCTATGGGGGTATGCAACAGGTATGAGGTATGTACCAATGGAGGTATGCAACAGGTTGCGATTAAATTATAACATTTTTGCAGGGTTATGTGATAACTTCATTTTTTTAAAACAAAATGTATGTGTTTACAAGCGTATGTTGAAGTAGTTAAGAATATGTGTATTTTGATTTGGACCTCTGTAATAATTCCTACTGTAGGATAGCGGAACGATGTACCTATGTGTAATGACAGTGTCAAAAAACGTTATAGAGCATTCTTAGTCATTGTATAATGGCGATTAACTTCCTGTGGTTAAAATTTGAGGTCGTCTCGCATTAGAATCGAAACCTTCGTATTTTAAATTGAAACCTCGTGCAAACGTGTTCGGTGCCAAATTATAAATATTGATTCTAGGGTGACTACAAAGTCAAAGCACAGTAAGTTTAGTTTTGTGAGGTCGTGGCGTGGGTATACAATATACGTTCTACAACCAGTACCTATAGTCAGTACTTACGAACAACCCTCCTCCGACGTCTGATTAACAGAGCCACGACGACAGCACATACAGCAATTGCTATGACATTTTTTCTATCCATGGTTCCGTTGGTCCACTGCAGGAATCAACTTCTGCAAATAATACAAAGAATTTGTCTGCATGTCATTAAACAGTTAAGCATTTACACAAATTCGACCTCCACACTGTACGCTCTCACTGACAAGCCCTTCTATTACGCAATGACACTTACCCGACAGAACGTTCCCGCGTATTGAATGTTGCATGGGAATGCACCGGTGTATGGTGTGCAAGGGGTTATTAAAAATTGCACCTTGGTGTACCTACCCGGGAGTAGCTGCAGCTAGTTCCTTTGTGGGTGGGGACCCACCTTTACATTTTGAATGAATGCATGTGTTGAGGCTGTATTGAGGCTGTATTGAGGCTGTATTGAGGCTGTATTGAGGATCTATTGAGCTTCATCCAGCAGAATTAGAAGGGCACAACGACACGGCTGGCACATTAAACTAAACAACTTTACAACGCATCCTTAAAATAAAAATCATTGCTCACTCATTACATAAAAGGTTTACACACACTCCTTCTTGGCTTTCCATTGATAAAAATACTCTGTCACTGCAAACACCTTAACCAACTGTTCTGTACAGGTCCAGATGGCTGCAGTGGTGGTTGATTACAGAGGGGTTTTTAAAGTGAACGGTTCCTGCCTAACGGAACATTTCTTTGGCTTCGTATGCTGCAGGTTTTGTGAAGGTACGAGGCTAAAGATAACAGTCTACTGAGGCCTCGGACGTTAACCCTGGTCAAACAAAATGGAACGCGCGTCATCGGGGACCAAATGTAAAAATTATTCAGTTAAATCCTAGGATGCGCTCCTTTTGCAAAAAATAATATTTACTTCGCTCTTTATGCAGAGATAATGCTTGCGATTGAACAAAAATCTGGGGCCATGCCTTCTGAAACAGACAGACAGTTTCTTCTGTCATTTAGGCAACAAGGCCCATAGTACAATGCAGACTGGATATTGACCTAAACAGCTCTTCATGAGAGGAAGGCATTTAAACTTTCCAACTGTTGACATTTCAGAATTGCATCATCCAAACTTTATGACGACATGTGTCACTTGTGCGGTCGTAACAGAATGCATGGCTTATTAAGTAGGGCTTTGGTTGGAGTGTTTCCTTCATAATTTTGACTACTTGTCATCGTGCACGGATGGTGTGGATCACTCCTCTTGTTTTTTTCAATCACTGTTGTTTCTGTTCAGGTCAGATATGGTTAGAGTTTCACTGACTACGGCACTAAACAACACTCACTCACTTAATCACCTTTTTATTAGGACTGTTCTCATCTAGCGACACCTTTTTTTTTCATGAGATTTAGTTAAATAAGGGGATTAGAGTGTTCTTTCGGAAAGGAGATAAATTGGACGGCCTGAATCTTGAACTGGTCTGGGGGCGTTCGGGTAGCCTGGTGGTTAAAGTGTTTGCTCGTTACGCCGAAGACCACTCACTCACTCACTCACTCACTCACTTGAACTGGTGTGAGTCTTGGTTTCTTTACATAAGTTCATAACTGAAACAGTTGAACAGTTTAGATACGAAACACAAGTCCTATATTCCCCACTGACCAATATCAGAGACGTCAGAAATCTTTGTTCAGCACATTAAACATGCAAAATAATCATTATTACCACGTGTTTGTAAATTACACCCACATATAAGATGTTCCCTCTTATCAAGACACTTACGGCATGTGAAGCATGACATATGTGCACGTAATTATTTTGGAATTTTACCAACACTCATCAAGGGCCCAGTTGTGTAGTTCCGCGGCCCTTAAAAAAGATGATAAACAGGACTATGCAATACGAGCTCTACCCACAACAAGGAAGTAAAATGGTAATATTAGATCGTCTCACAGCGGGGTTGATCAATAGAGTCGTGCGGGTTACTTGGTGAACTCTACACGCTGGTTGTAGTCATGTGTACACAACCGGTGTATTGTACGCTAGGCCACCCAATGTATGCATATTAATGTCTTCAGTCCACAAAGATGAAACTGGGTCGATTTAAATGACGGCGTGTTCTGTTTTCCATTAGGGAGTCATCCTGTGCCGCCTCATAAACGCACCTTTCTCACTATAGCATGTCGCCCATCCCACCATCCCAACTATAGCTTGTCGCTCGTCCCGCCTTTAACATATAACAAGTCACATCTTTAAATGAGTCGCCTATAACATACCACTACTTCCTGAACATAAACTCGTTATCCTGTCCTATTCAACCTGCGGCACATCACACACTTACCTGCCGTGTGTTTTCCTCTATATCCTATCAACGACAACAGAATATTCCTTTAAACAACATCAGACCATTTCCATAGACAATAGCGGAATATCCATAAAGAAGCCACAAGTGTTTCACTGCTCACTGTTGGCAACAAAAGTGTATACTTTTCGACAGCACAAGCAGCATCCACTTTGGCAACAGCACTGTATCCCTTCTGACAACAGCAGGGTATCCCTTATCAGTGTGTTAGACACAAACAGTCTCTTCACTATCTCTCAGTTACGTTCGGTTCTGCATCTCACACACAATAGGTAGTATATGTAATGCAAGTATTTGTGAGATAAACTAAAATCACGACACCTTTATAGCATGTCGCCCGTTAACTTTCCTCTCTATAGGACGTTGACCGTCTAACTTTCCTCTCTATAGGACGTGGACCGTCTGACTTTCCTCTCTTAGGACGTGGACACTCTGACTTTACTCTTTAGCATGTCGCCCATCACACCTTCCTCTGTATAGCATGTCACCCATTACACCTTCCTCTGTATAGCATGTCACCCATTACACCTTCCTCTGTATAGCATGTCGCCCATCCCACCTTCCCCTCTATAGCATGTCACCCATTACACCTTCCCCTCTATAGCATGTCGCCCATCCCACCTTCCCCTGTATAGCATGTCGCCAACCACACCTTCCCCTCTATGGAATGTCACCCACCACACCTCCCCCTGTATAGCATGTCGCCCATCACACCTCCCCCTGTATAGCATGTCGCCCACCACACCTTCCCTTGTATAGCATGTCGCCCATCCCACCTCCCCATGTATAGCATGTCGCCAACTACACCTTCCCTGTATAGCATGTCGCCCATCCCACCTTCCCCTCTATGGAATGTCACCCACCTCACCTACCCATGTATAGCATGTCGCCAACGACACCTTCCCCTGTATAGCATGTCGCCCATCACATCTTCCCCTGTATAGCATGTCGCCCATCACACCTCCCCCTGTATAGCATGTCGCCAACCACACCTTCCCCTGTATAGCATGTCGCCCATCCCACCTTCCCCTGTATAGCATGTCGCCCCTCACACCTTCCCCTGTATAGCATGTCGCCAACCACACCTTCCCCTGTATAGCATGTCGCCCATCCCACCTTCCCCTTTATAGCATGTCGCCCATCACACCTCCCCCTCTATAGCATGTCGCCCATCACACCTTCCCCTGTATAGCACGTCGCCCATCACACCTTCCCCTGTATAGCATGTCACCCATTACACCTTCCCCTGTATAGCATGTCGCCCACCACACCTTCCCCTGTATAGCATGTCGCCCACCACACCTTCCCGTGTATAGCACGTCGCCGATCACACCTTCCCCTGTATAGCATGTCACCCATCACACCTTCCCCTGTATATCATGTCGCCCCTAACACCTTCCCCTCAATATCATTTCGCCAACTACACCTTCCTCTGTATAGCATGTCGCCCACCACACCTTCCCCTGTATAGCATGTCGCCCACCACACCTTCCCCTGTATAGCATGTCACCCACCACACCTTCCCCGGTATAGCATGTCGCCCATCACACCTTCTCCTGTATAGCATCTCGCCCATCACACCTTCCCCTGTATAGCATGTCGCCCACCACATCTTCCCCTGTATAGCATCTCGCCCATCACACCTTCCCCTGTATAGCATCTCGCACATCCCACCTTCCCTTGTATAGCATGTCACCCATCACACCTCCCCCTGTATAGCATGTCGCCCACCACACCTTCCCCTGTAT